GAGCTTGAGGAAGATCATCTATATTGTTTGAGCATCCAACTCTTCTGCTTATCTTTTGATCTATAGAGAAGTTTCCCTAAACTCTTTTTCTAGCTTTATATCTATTTGTTTGATTATCATTTTACTAAAGCTAGTTTTATATTGAGTTTAGATTTGATTAAACTCATTGTTTACACACACAACCATTGAGCTTATTGTATTTTCATACATAGTATATTTGGGTTGGTGAGAGTTATAACAACTGAGTGTGAGCTTTCATTATGTTCTCATCCATACTAGAGAACAAACAATTATTGTAATTGTGCTTTAGTGTGAGGTTCACTTTGTAATACACTTGTACACCGAAAGGAGTGTGTGGTGAGAGATAGGGTCGAATCCAAGAGGAGTGGCGTCGGTTGACGAACCTAGGGAGATGTTGTATCCGAGCACTTGAGGAGGAGGACACAGGGTAGACCAACACTTAGAGGGTGTGAAGTGTATTTGCAAGTGAGTGAGTTGTAGAGTTTTCGGTGAACTAGAAAACCATATTGTGAGGTGTAAACGTTATTCGGGTGAGTGTAGAAAACCCGATTGTGATAGTGGATATCTCCTCGAGGTGAGGAGCGGAGACGTAGGTCGTAGGGACCGAACTCCGTGATCATATCATTTGTTTGTGATTGAATTGACGCACTTAATTTTTGTGTTCATATCTTATTTCGCCATTGCCTATTGCTTGTTGTTTATATTACTCACTATCTAGTTTAGTTTGTTTGCCCTTGTATATCACTTATCATTGCATATATATCTTGTTACATATTATACTTGCTAGGATATTTATTAATTAGTTTTAATTAGCATAAAATCAGATTAGATTAGCATAAGACCCTAATCACCCCCCTCTAGGATCTAACAATTCAATCACAGTACTCACAGATATAATGTGGTTCACTCTTACTGAGCTACTACACGGTGCAACGACGATGCCCAATGTTTTTATATCCCAAAAAAGAATTAGATCAAAGAGAACACTCTCTCTTGATGAAGATACTCTCCAAGAATTCTCATAAACTCTCTCCTTGATATTAATAAAAACTCTCTATTTTTCTTCTCACTCTTCTATATGAAGAGTTGTTTCTGGAAAGATTTTTCCTGAAGAGTTTTGGGCCTATTTATAGTGGCTGAAAAATATTATGCACTAATTTTATATTATTAGTGGTGGGGCCCGCCACTTTTATTTTTCAAACTTTACCTAAAAATCTGCCTAACTCTCAGTTTATGGGAAGCTGCCTAACTCTCATTCCCTTTCAACAATCACCCACTTGAATATTTAATTGAGCATCAATCATATCTTCACACCATTCTTGGTTGCATCATCCGGATGTCTTGTATCTTTGGCATCTTGCACGACTGTCAACGTTCTCAAAGGAGGCCGTATGAGACTGCACACAGCCTCACTTTCTCGAGCGAAACTGGCTTGGTTAGCATATCGGCTGGATTATATCTCGTATCAATCTTCGCAAGCTTGAACTCGTTCCTACTTTGCCATCTCTGTATGGTATGATGCTTCATGTCAACATGCTTGGTCCGAGCATGGAATGCGTCGTTTTCTTACAAGTGAATGACACTTTGACTGTCACAGTGGATGAAGTATTTCTCAAAGCTTACCCCAAGCTCGAGAAGAAAAGCTTTCAACCATAACAACTCTTTTGCTGCCTTTGCTACAGACACATACTCGGTTTCGGTTGCCATGGAGGAAGAAATGAAACCTTTTGGAGCAACTCGATTTGTATTAACATATTTCCTAATATTTTGTGCAAAAAAGGGTATTTCAGAAATCCTCCTTAAGTTTGGTCAATTTTGAGATAAACCCCCCTGTACGTTAAATATTTTTTAGAAACACCCAAAAGTTCACTTTTTCAACTAATCCTCCTACTAGTATCAGAAGAACTGGTAAAAAAAATAACCTTTTTAAATTAAAATTCTAATTATTAGACAAAATTAGTTGGGGTTTGTCTTAAAATTGGACCACACATTGGGGGGTTTGGTGAAAATTACCTTAAAAATTAATAGAAAGACGTGGAAGTTTGTCCTTTTCTTTTTTTTGTTAGGGGCATTTTGTCATTTGGATGCAGGCGATTTTCACTGAGCTAACTGTGTTAGCTAAAGATTTCATTTATTTCTTTAATTTTTAGATTATTATTTTATGAGCCCTAAATGTAGACTAGAATGATGCCAATAGAGTGATGCCTCATCACTCTTCTAGGGGCAATATTTGAATGGTTTTCTTCTATGCACATGTGCAAATCTTACAATTTTGCTACAATTATTGTAGGCAGAGATGCTAAATGTTATGTTACGAAAATTGGTCTTCCCAACCAAGAACTTGTTGTGTTGGATCTGAGATGAAAGGAGGGGGGTAGCGAAAATATAAAAAAACTAAAAGCGAATAACCAAACCATAAATTAACCAAGGAACACACGAGACTTTATTATAGTTAGGATAACAATTCTATGTCTACTCTTTCTTCTCACGAAGGAGCTTATTCACTATAGCCAGAATTCACCTGAAGCACAACCCAATTCTTTAAGCTTATAAAGACCACACCATTGAATCTACCCGAAATTAGTCATCTAACCTAACTCCTAACAGATGAAGAACATCTAGCACTAGTTAGGCCTAATCCTCAATTATCATTGGCTTGAGTACGTCGTAAAAATAAAATGAAACACAAATCATCAAAACAATTTAAGCACAAATTAAAAAGAAATTGCAATCATTTTTCTATGCAAACCGATCAAGCGAAGCTTAATAAAGAAACAATGATAATGTTGAATCCAAGAAAAACTCTCCTTGCTGATATGATCTGAAGATATTGAGCGTGAAGAGAAAGAGTTTGACGAGGCTCTTAGGGTTCGAATCACAAATTAAATCTTCTTCACAAATCCTAGAATAAAATTTCTCATAAAGCTCTCCTTTTCTCAAAGCATAGAACCTCTCCAAATTATGATCTCTTCCTATCTTATATAGCCTTTAGTGAATAGGAAAAAAGATATTGAAATCATAGTAGGAGTTGGAGACAGAAAGGATCAACGAACGGTTGAAATTAAATCACAAAATCTGCCAAAACGTGTCACCATCAATGAGCAAACTCGACCATCTACGGTCCATCAAAGCCCAATCGATGGTCCATCGAAGCCCCATCAATGGCTTCCTGTTATGAATCAATGGTTAAAAAACTAGTTTTTGAAAATTATCAATTGTGCAATATACACCATCGATTGTTGTGTTGATCACCGATGGTTTGCTGACGACCATTAATGGTCTCAAACCTAGTTTCTGGAATTCTCGGATTTTGCACTGTAGTTAATTAATTGTCTCATAACCATTGATGGTGTATCAATGACCATCCATGGCATGATGGCTGAAATAAACATAAATATTGATTTTTCCATCATTTCGCCTCGTATCTTTCTGTATACCTGTTTATAATTGTAATATATCATCTCAAACAATCTTTAGTAACAAATGAGTGTTTGCTATTGCTCAAACGAGAGATATTAATTGTATGAACTCCGTTCTAACATAACTATAACTTTTTTAGTTAGGATGAATTTAAATGTTGTTACAGCTATTCAGTGAATACCACCGGAAGATCCATTTGGATTGTGAAGGCAAGAGTCTTGTATCTATAGAGCAAATGGGGAAATGAGTTGTTTCTAGAGTTAAACAGTGAATATCACCGGAAGACCTTCCCTACTTGCAGGATTGAACTTGCAATTTTGCACAAAGTTTGATAACCTTCCCATCATGTGTCAAAATTAAGTGCGAGGTTCTATATTTCAAGACCAAGTAAGGTTAGGATTGACGGTATACATATTTCCTTCATAATGTTAGATTATGGGTGCAAATTTCCCAGTTGTAGTGGTTAAGACTTTCAAATTCAAACAATAGAGGCACACTACCTAAGTTTTTTTTTACAATCTGTATTACTTTGGGGGTTGGTTTTTTCTTTCTTTTTTTATTTTTTTTATTTGGGGTGGGGTGGGGTGGGGTGGGGCGGGGTGGGCACTTTAGTTCAGACCCCAACTACGGCTAGCTGTAGGCAATAAAGCATGTACAACACTAACAAACCTTTATCGTGATGATTCATACACAATCATAAAGCCACATACATAATTTACGATAACAGCGCCTTTAGCAGAGACCACATAATTCAGCTCTTCAACTATTAATTTAAGATATCTTGAAAAAAGGACAAATCAAAGTAACACATCTTATCAAATTAAAACCATATAACAATTTAGGAAAAGTGAAAAAAAAGCCGATAATACTAGAAAATCCTGCTACCAGACTTGAAACAGGTGTCCAATAAAGCAACGCTTCCTCCATGGCAGTGGAAAGTTTAAAGTACACTTCTACTTATAGTTCATATTGACCCTCGGCTTCGGTTTGTCATGGAGGAAGAAATGAAACCTTTTGGAGCAACTCGATTGTATTAACATATTTCCTGATATTTTGTGCGAAAAAGGGTATTTCAGAAATCCTCCTTAAGTTTGGTCAATTTTGAGATAAACCCCCCCGTAGGTTAAAATTTTCAGAAATCATCCCGGCATTGCTGCAAGAAATCAAATCTAGTTCACGGAAAAAAAAAAAAAACCTTACACAAATTTAGCCCGAAAAACTTCTCATATAAACAACGATCTAATTGACAAGAAAAAGTACTCGAGGGAGAGGGGAGAAAAGTGGGTGACTTTATTAAACGGGTCAAAATCGGGTTTGGACCCGAAAGTGTTGTTATTACATCGAAAATAAAGCGGGTTTTGGGTTGTGAAGCGGGTCTTGACCCCCACCCGCCTCATTCTGTAAACAAAATAAAGCGGGATTCTAGGGCGCTAGCGTGGTTTTTTGCATTTCTTCAGCCTGCCTCCGACGATCGTCTTCGAGATCGCGTCAGCCACCTCCGGCCTCACTCGTCTTCGACAGTCTCTTCGGCTCACAGCCTCTTCTCGTCACGTCGGTCTTCTCTCTCGAGTCTCGAAGCTCTCACCCCCCCCCCCTCCGGCGTGTCCTCGACCACTCCCAACCTACCATCCTTTCCATCAAAATGTAAGATAAAGCTTAAAATTTTTCATTTTTTTTATTTAGACTTAAATTAGCTGCTAAACGAATATTCGAGAATACTTGCCGAATGCTAATATGAGTTGTCGAGAACACGAATTTGAACATGTAAGTAAAACCCTAAGACCGTTTCGTCTTTTCTTTAATGTTGGCGTCAGCGGCGATGACAACGGAGGAGATGGAGACCATGGCTTCGTCGAAAGGCGCAGGTTAGTCGAGTGTGAAATTATATGCTATTTTTACACCCCCTCATTTTTTTTTCCATCTGGCCAATTTTAATTTTGGGAGCTTAAAGGTTTATTTGAATTATAATTATTCTTATTTATTTGTTTCCTTATTACAGGAACAGAAGAAGAACAGCTCAAAAAAATCAAGAAGCAAAAGAACAAGAAAAAAAAGGAGAAGACAGGTAACATTCCTATTGGATTATAAGTCCCGCCTTTTATGCAAAGGAATCCCCTTTTGTTGAGTGCACAAGATAGAAGCTTTTGAATATGAATCTGCTGTCGGGAGTTGTAACGCAGCACCGACAACCTGATAGGCCAAAAAAAGTTATAAGACACGTGCTTTAATAACAACATTGAGTTAATTTCGCCACATTATGTGATGATTGTTCTTGTCGTTGACTCATATATGAGAGGTGTGGGTTTATGTGATTGGAGATAGGAGATTGGAGATTGGAGATTGGAGGAAGAAAAAATGATGAATGAATTAGCGATGATGAATCTAGAATAAAAGTAGAGGACTGAGGAAATCACTTATTAGTGTTGAGGTTGTTATTAGGAATGGATGGTTGACCTTTTCCCGTTCAGCCTGATTGTTCACTGCTGATGTAGCATTCCTCTTTACTTCAAACCCAGTTTATTGATAATCACCCTCCTGACTTAATTGCTCATAACTTTGCTCTAGACAGAGTTGTTATTTGTTCCACCTTCAAGTGATAACATCCATGTGGATGTATAGGAATTAATATGATATGTGTTGAATTCCGTTCCAGTTCAGGCTTTATCTTATAGTGGATTCTTTCCAGGTATGGGTTCTGAAAAGTATTATCCATATTTGACCCGAGTTTAGCAACCGTTCTAAATTTCTGTTCGTAAAATAAATTGTCCAATATTGCCTAGGTAGCGGGTTGCTATGGGTTGGATCGGGTGAAAACAAATCCAATTTGCACTTAGTTTACATCACATAGAGACATCATGATTCAAACCCAATTTCTCAATAATCACTCTTCTAACTGAATCATACACAACCTAGTAGATGATATGATATGAGGAGATTCCCTTTCTGTGTAAGAGGATGATTTGCTCTTCCCTCACCAAGCCAAATAAATGAATAAGTAAATATAAAGCAAAGAATTCACCATATTTTTATATCATATTGATCTGGTACGATTCACAGTTACCGACTTAATAATCTCACATAAAGCTAAAACTAAAACTTTTATGTTGCATCATGCGAGCACATGTAGTGGACAACTGTTAACTCGAATGCCATCTCTACATGTACCAATTATATTAATGGTGAACTACTATTAATCATATGACCTAATGACCCTAATATTTTTGGTGGTGTTATAGATGTTGAAGAAGGGCAGGAGGGCGGTAATCTAGATACTGATGGTAAGAGAAAGAAGAACAAATCAAAGAAACGCTCAGCGCCAGCTTTAGATTCACAAGAAGAGAGATGCATTAATGCTGGTAAGTGAACACATTTTGATATCTCTCCGCCTGCTTGTAGACCAAGTTAGAATCAGATCCTTACATTTACAGCTAATTATTTATGTGCTTGGCTGTCTGTAGGATGTAGGTCTACAGTTCACAGCGAAGCATACCCTTTTGCTTTACTCTATCTAGTTGTTGGTGACTGCCATATTTAACACTTCCAACTTTTATATTGAGAAGCTTTCTTTCGAGTTTTTTAATTTTATTTCTAGCGCTTTCAGAATCTCAAGAGTAGAATTATGTTTATGTTAAACTATGCCAAAGTTTTATAAATGCATAGATATTAAGGGCATGTTTGGCAACTCTTTTACTTACCAGGTTATCGGGACCAAACTGGTTAAGGGCTAAAATTCTGTTTGGAAATAACTAAGCCAGAATTGAATCAACTTTATTTTTGTTCAAAATTTGGCCCTTAAACCAGTTCAGTTGGGGAAAAACCATGGAGGTGGTCCCTTTAACGAGGATATGCACTAGTTCAGTGTTAAAGGATTTGGATTGATTACGTGAAGTCGCAATAGATTCTTTAACTAGGAGAAGAAAAGAAGATCCCTTATGTCATGTGCAGGATAAATGCTAGAACCTTCTTTGTTCTTGAATCGTGACTAGTAACATTTGGAGAGTTAAACCAGTTGAAGGGGGTAGCCAAAACTGATGCCATGTTTCTTTTCCTTTTCGGTTGCATAGTGTGTGCCAACATGCATTCTAATCTAGCTGTCCATGGGGACACTGGGGAACTAGTAGTCCGTGGAGACCTTGAGGTTTATATTGTATCATTCTGATTTTAGCTTCCGTCCTTAAAATGTGTCAGCTCTAAAGCATGAAGAAAGTTGAAAAGCTAAAAAAATGCAAGGAGTGTTTCAAAGTGAACCTGACTGTAACTTTATTTAAATGGATGTCATATACAGAGACGAGAATTATGAGCAAGATAGTGTCTCGCTGTAGATCCTTTAACATCACATGTAGAAAGGCATACCTTCAACATGTGGGCAGTTTAAGATCAAGCAGGCATGGTGCAATATCCAAATTCCCAGACACCTGGGAAGAATTGAGATTAAAAGGTTGGAAGATGAGATGTGATAGGCAGATAGTGTTGGCCTAACAAACGATTGGATCATGCTTTCATGTGGCTCATACTGTGTGTCAAAATTTTTTTGTTAGCTATGACATCAGCGTTATGCCAATTTCTAACACTTTGCAAATAGATATAATACTGATAATCTTATGTCGATAGACCGTATATTAAGATACCTTATGCCAAGAATCATAAAATTATGTAGCACTGAAACCTAGTTAGCATTATATATTAAGACCGTTACACTGGAAACCATTTGTAGTCACTCATATTAGTTCAGTGTTAAAGGATTGGGATTAATTATGCGAAGTCGCAAGTTTAAGTTCTTTGACTAGGGGAAGAAAAGGAGACACCTTATGTCATGTGCAGGATTAATGCTAGAACCTTCTTAGTTCTTCAATCATGACATGTAATAATTTGGGAGTTAAAATATAAAAGTTAGGATCCTACTCTTTTAAACTCAATTTGGTGATGTAAGTGTTAAAAATTCTACTTGTTATAAGTGGGAATCAAATATATCAGGCCACACACAATGTGATGGATATTAAGTGGGTTTTAGTTCTTAAGTGTGATCCATTTTACTATGTTTAGAATCATGTCGGTCAGATGACATGATGGTTGTGGGTTTACTGCTACAAAACCTAATCTGTTACAATACAAACATTGAACGCCGAATTTTCACACTTGTGAATGATTTCTCCATTTCTCTTCTAGGAGCTGGTGACTGTCATCAGATGAATTGTAAAGTATTTAAGAAAATGCGGATCAACTGAGCTTAGTTGCTTGGTGTTTTATTAGTAGAGAACTGTACTATATGCAATATTGCTTTCACATTTCATTGTCCAGGGAAACTATGATCTCTGTTTTCAGTTGCCACTGTACTTCATTTGTGCATTTACTTTCTGATATGTCTTTTTCATTATTAACCTGCTCATTGGTTGTGACACAACCCTAGGTGTAACCCATAAAGTGGATGATGAATATGACGTGAATGAGCCAACTATGGCAGAGAAGCTTGCGAGTTTGGATTTGGTCAATGAGGACAAATCCAAGAATGTTGATAAGCAAGAGCCATCTCCCATCCCAACACCCCCTAGTGCTGATTCAGTTCATCGCTTATTGAAGCAAGCTTTGCATGCTGATGACCATGCGTTGCTATTGGATTGTTTGTACTCAAGGGATGAAAAGGTTTCCTTTCTTTTTTTTGTGGCCTTCAACGAGCAAGTTACCTTTTATTATAATCAGTCATGTACATACAAAGGAGATTGTTTTTCTATTTATTGGAACTAGTGGTCTCAACAGCTGGAATAGACTGAACAAATGTTCCCATTCTAATTAGAATAGAATCAATTAATTTTAAAATCTCGACCTTTCCTCAGTAAGCATGGAGACCATCACTTAATATAACACAACAGCTGGAAACTGGTGAGCTCTCAGATCTTTGAGTTTCAAATCGGTTGGTGTTGAAACTTAAGCAGCTATCTCAGAACCACAATGCTGAACATATTGTAAAATTATGCTGTACCTATGTGGAAGTGCTATATAGGCTAGCTGACGGTGATGAATTTGACTACCTATGATTTGAGATGTTGTTTATAAAAAAAAATTATCAATGCGTATGCTTCTATTAGTATGCCGCATTTGATACCACAAGGACCTTTGCATTTCCTTTCTTGTCCACATGCTTCTAATAAAATTTGTGGTGGCATGCAGGTTATTGCAAAGTCAACATCACTTTTAAGTCCGGTAGATGTTCTCAAGCTTTTAAAATCACTTACATCCATGGTGCAGCAAAGGTAATCAACCAATGGAACTCAGATTACAAGTAGTATTTTCGTATTTCGGTGAGCTGTGTTTTCTTGTAATGTATTTTTTGAAATCATTCTATATTATCAATAACAACTGATAGTAAATTTTACTACAGACCAACAACTTAACATCAAAAGTAATACAGTACTTGTGTTATCATTATGTAAGTAAAGGTAACTCTAGGTCAAAGGTTGGTCGCTTTCAATTACCTCAAGATATCTGGGTAAATTATGCCTTCCAGAGTCTCTGTTCGCACTTTTGTCAACTCCTTAACATTTTAGACAACCTTTTAACATGGTTTAAATGAAACTTCTCTTCGAATATAATATTCACCTAGTGATACTTCTAGCACCTTTATCCAATTTGGCCTCGCTTATATCCTTACATTGAACTTGGACTCATGTATTCGATATGAATTATCAGGTTTTGAGTAAAACTATATTTAACAGGGTCACAAACCACCTTCTAGTTATCAGATTAACCTATCTCGTGATGTTAATACTGGTAAGTGTTATAAGGATTATGCATAATAAGTGACTTATATATGAATTCACATGCAGATTCAGTTAATTAACATGGATGTAAATATAAGAAAGAATAGACGTGTTTGTAAAATAAATAATGAAACAGCCATTCAAGGGAAGATCTGTAGTCCGCCTCAATATATTAATACTTATTAGAGTCCTCTGAGCCTCAGCTGTAGACAACATGTGAAGCTTCCATGTCTACTTACACTGGATGGTTATAATATAAAAAGTACTTGATTATAGTATATCAGCACAATGTATTTGTTTTGTGCTGATAATTCTGATGTTTCAAGTAACTTGACTCATTTTTTCTAATTGTATATTCTATTTTCTTTCGTGTAGAGGTGCTGTGTTGATCTGTGCACTTCCTTGGCTTAGAAGCTTGCTTTGTCAACAAGCAAGCAGTATAGCATCACAAGAATCGTCCTTGCATATTCTCAATTCCTTATACCAGGTTAGCGTTTCATTGTATTGGTCAAATCCTGTACTTCCTCTTTACGTATTATAATACAAGATACTCCAAATCTTTGGTCTTTAAATGTACATCTGAAAAATGGAGGCTTCCAGCCGTGTACTTGATATGCATAGATGAAAGATCTCCATAGATATAAACTAATTTGGGTATGCCAAGCACTAATGAACTGCTAGGAGCGTTTTAACCACTATACCATGGTAATTAACAGATAACATCAACTTTTGGATTTTCTGATTGCCGTTTCTGAAACTGCAAAGTGATGAACGAATTAGAGCAATAATACTATACACTTAAATATCATAACCAATGCTGCTACAATACAGGGACAAGATTGCAAAGCAAACTGATTGTTTGTGATGACTGCTCTTGTACCATAGAGATTTGATGGATGGCTCTCTTAGCCGTCACCTGCCTCTATTCAACTTGCATTACACCCATTTTCTAATAAATTGTAGTCAACTTGAAAATATATTATAAATAGTCTTGCATATACATGTTATGCATAAAATATTAACTCCTTAATATATGCAACTTTTTGGTAGATAATATATGCAATTTTATCACCGACAAATAAGTTCATGGTGTACCTCTATCCTGATATTGTTTAACATTTTTCGTATTGTATGCCTGTATCATATCATATTCCTATTAGCTACTAGCACAAACAAGCGGTTTATTGATTTATACCTTGTGTTGTTATTTTATAGTTCTTTTACTGCCATAGCCGCACATCTTATGTCCAACCAGAGGCTTATGATTCTCTCTCTCTCTCTCTCTCTTTCTTTTGCCTTTTTGGGATTCAAAGTTTCAAATATTCATGACTGGAAGTATAGGCAGTAAAACACAGCAGTACTTTTGCTGGTTTTTGGCTAACCCGTTTTGTGGATCATGGTCTTCTACATACTTGAATGATGACATTAAGTTCTACAATTCTTGCAGCTGATCGAAGCAAGGGTTTCAACCTTTCGATCCGCTCTCCAGCTCTCCACATCTCTTGATGTCCTATGCGCCAGGGTGAGCCTTTTCTTTTCCCCTGTATTATACTCCACCTTTTGACATATCTTCTGCTAAGCAAATACTTCTTGTTATGTAGATGCCTGAGGTTGAGGCTGAGGAAGACAGCACTATCCCGTTAATAATATACGAGGACAAGGACAGTAGTGAAGAAGAAGCAGAAAATGAAGACGCGATGGAAACTGATGAAGTTGATGGTGAAGATCTGGGAGCTATTATTGACTCTCATGATTCTGATGGAAGTGAGGTCATGAGCGATTGATTGATTGATAATTGGTATCGTGGAATTGTGTTGAACTTGTAAAAGTATAAGTTGCGAGGAAAATTTTGAGAACTTGTGCACTTTACATGTCTGCTACTTTATGGATTTGTATCAGATACAAGATGAGAAAATTTTGCTGTTGTTTGCTATCATTCTTTTTTATCTATCTTCTTTCCAAGTATATTGTGTTATTAGCGGTCACGATATAATATCAGTACCAAACCGATTTGTTTTCAAGCCATATACCATCACTTGGTATGTAGAGAACCATTTTTTTTAATCATTTGAGAAATGAAAAAGAAAATCAAAGGTTTTGTAACTCTAGCTCTAACCCATGTTTCAATTGGGTAATTTAATGTGTTAAATAGTAATAAATGAGTTCAGAGGCAGATAAAAAATAGATGGAAGGAAGAAGATAAAGGAAAATTTATCCAGGCCCTTAGAATTCTGAGAATTTGTTTTTAAGTTCAGAACCTATGAAGGGATATTTCTACATGAAATCCATCAAATGAAAAGAATTTCCTTTTGACCCAATAAACTAGAAAAGTTGTTGTTAGCCCCAAGTTCTATTTAAAAATGATAGAAGTAAATTAAAAAAATCTCTAGAAACTAAAAATATTAGTTTTATACCCAAAATAGTTTGAGTATGGAATCTTTAGTTTTTATGCATCTTGTATGATTACAGGTTTGATCGAGGAGTATGTTCTTGGAGTACGGTTCTCCAAATTGTTATTAAATATCTTGAGGTGAGTAGATTTTTTCTCATTACTTATTTTTAATTATCTTGAGGTGAGTAGATTTTTTCTCATTACTTATTTTTAATTATATATTATTTAAATGATAATTTATTTTTGTGTAGAGAAATTGTGGATCAGACATGTTATTATGTTCATTATTAGTAATTGTTAACAAATTTAAATATGATAACTATTTATCTTTTACAAGGTAAATATTGTTTTAGTATATGAGATTATTAAAAATATACCATTTCAAATTTACTGTTCGAATATGCATTTATTAAAGAATTCTAATTGACAAGAATGCATTTATTAAAGAATTCTAATTGACAAAAATAAATTATCTATTCGTTCAGATTCATGAATATTATACTTTCACGAAATTGATATGAGAAAAGTTTGCAAAAGTGTTTAAGCATTAATATTGCTTTTCATACTAGTGAAATTTATGTGATACTTTGAGTGAAAAGAAAAGTGTTTTAAATGTTAAAAATACTCAGAAGTTCGCTATGGAGTGAAGTGGTTTGTTTAAACCTACCATATGGTATTGAATGTACCGACTAATGTTAAAGTGGCCATTTTGACAAAAGTGAAGTGGCCTTAGGGCAGCCTATAGTAGTGCCAGGTACATTCTGTCACCGGGTTGACTTATAGTGATTTGATGTGCATTCCCATGCTACTGGGCTATAATTTCGTAGCCTTAGTGTGACAACTGAGAAAATTTTGCAATTGTGAGTCTATATCGATAATTGTAGTTTTAAAAGTAATTAGTATTCATTTGTATTGTTTCTTGATATTATGAATATTCTTTTATGACAATGTCACATGCTATTCTTGAAAATTCCTCTTATTCGAAACATTATGTGTTTCTTAAACGTCGTTTTTGACGATATCTTATTTAAATTTTAATATTGATAAATTCTTAAACTTGTCTGATCCGCTAATGATAAGTTTTCTACTCACTGAGTGTAAACTCACCCCGTTGTTAATTCTTAAACTTGTCTGATCCGCTAATGATAAGTTTTCTACTCACTGAGTGTAAACTCACCCCGTTGTTTTTCAATCTTTTTCAGATAAAAATTAGATATAAGTTTTCTACTCACTGAGTGTAAACTCACCCCGTTGTTTTTCAATCTTTTTCAGATAAAAATTAGATAGTTTTATTTGTATCTCGGAGTTTTTGAACATGAGACGGATCTTTTAGAGTGTTTGATGCTGAAAGTTAAAGTTATACAAGTCTTGCTACTATGCATATCTAATAAGAGTCTCTTGACTCATTAGAGTTGTTATAATATAATTTTGCTCTGAGACTTCTCTATTTGTTAATAAAATTTCTTTTAAAATGAAGTTTATTGTAATATGGAAGTGCACCGCCGACTTAGCATGTACTTTTTGTGCACGTGTTGCCGTTGTCATGCATCTCAAAATAAGCTGTGCATTTTGGAGGCGTGACATGATAGGCAGGAGTCAGTGCTTTGCATAGAGCAAATACTTTGCCAAATATGGAAACCCATCCACGATGTTGCAGAAATGTAGCATTATTAAAAGCACTGTCTCAAGGCAAGCTGAAAAACATTTATATTCTTGAGAAATAGCTGTAGAAAACATTACAACAACATTACAAAGCTAAACAAATAATTGAACATTAGTTTCCACTGTGTCACTAAACTGGGAGCTATCTGATTATATAGGGATGCTCAATGCTTTTATGTGCATACAATGAAAAAACATTATATAATCATGCCAAAGATTTGAATTCCAAGGCATTGAAAGAATGTTAAATGTAGCTAGCTCGTCATGCTCAACACAGCTTCATGTATCCAACACTTATCCTGTTGATCTGAAGTAAATTACAAAGGATATCACCGAAATGATCCAAAGGAGATTTAGTTGTTACTCTGTCATAGTAGAATCACAAGACAAGAACATATCTGACTATTCATTATCAAAAATAAATAAAATATGAGTAATGTAGAAGCATCTACATGATCCAAACCGATCTCCTGATGGCAATTAAGTGATGTATATGTTGGTAGGTTCCCAGTTTTCTTGACCGCGGCAAAGCACTTAAAGCTGAATCTCTCCATATTCAACTACATCTGATGATAATTACTCGGTCTCCTTAACAAAATCGATTTCTTTTTACTTAATCATTAGATTTATATGCCAATATTTTATCCAACGACCTTAATTGGAAACAGTTGCTGTTTCCAGATGAAATCACTCTTCTTCCACCAAAGAAAATACAGGTACTCCCTTGCTGTTGAAGCTTGAACACTTGACTTGGAGCTCGATCTCCTCCCAAACTCCGTTCTTCCATTAAACTGCGGAAGAGAGTAGATCAGTTTACCACAACAGTTCTCTTTTCCCTTTTTTGACTAGCTAGTATAACACGATTTTCACTTTTGATACACGACTTTGGTTCAGGCACTATCTATTCTGATTTTAATCACCCCCAGCCACATCCACTTAGGACTGATTTTATGAAAGGATTTTTTAGGTTAGTTGCAAAAAGAACCCCTGTGGTTCTATTGGTGCATATAGACAACAGCCCCCCACTGTTGGGAAGAAATATTTGGAGGTGATGGAGAAAGTGTTTAAGAATTCGGGAGACAATAGAAAATTTAGGAAGAAGAAGATTTTTATTTCTTTTGAACACCTTAGAACAACTTGGAACTTCTTGATTACAAATGAGAGGAAAGGGGAGGTATTTATAGCCTCCAAAGTACAAAATATCTAGAATATTTTAATCCTAAATCTAGAGAGTTCTAGCATAATATCTAGAATTTTATATTACAATTATCTAGAGGAATATCTAGATATGCATTTTCTATAATTTTCTAGAACATTTTAAGGAGGTGGAGATGTTTAGATATTTCTAGAGAAAACTCTAGAACTTGGATCAAGTATTGGGTTTAGCCCAACAAGTGATAATTGGATCATTGATCCAATAATTAAACTTCATCCAAAATCAAGTTTACTTTTCAACACCCCCTCTTAAACTTGATTTTGCTACTCCAAGTAAACTCCTCATCTTGATAAAATCTTCGCGCTTGAGAGGCTTGGTGAAGATATCAGCTACTTGATTATTCGTCTTCACGTACTCCAATTGAACGTCCCTCTTGGTAACACACTCTCTAATGTAGTGATAACGAGTGTCAATGTGCTTACTTCGATCATGGAAGACTGGGTTCTTCACCAAAGCTATTGCTGACTTATTATCCACTAAGATCTTCGTTGGCTCCTTTTGTGGCAAACTCAACTCCTTTAACAGGTTCCGTAACCAAACAGCATGGCAAACACATGAAGTAGCCGCTACATACTCCACTTCACAAGTAGAAAGGGCGACAATTGGTTGCTTCTTTGACATCCATGTGAAAGCTGTATCTCCAATGAAGAACACGAATCCGCTTGTGCTTTTTTCGGTCATCTACGTCTCCACCCCAGTCGCTATCGCTAAATCCAACAAGCTTGCAATTGTCAGAAACAGAGTAATACAAGCCAAAGTTTATGGTACCTTTGATATAGCAAAGTATCCTTTTAGCTGCCTTGAAATGAGTTGTTGTTGGATGCTCCATGTATCGGCTCACAACTCCGACTGCATATAGGATGTCAGGTCTTGTGCACGTTAAGTAGCGTAGGCTTCCAACCAAGCTCTTAAATAGTGTTGGATCTACACTCTCTCCTTCTTCTTGCTTTGACAATTTGGCTCCACATTCCATTGGCGTGCTTACTGGATTCGAGTCATCCATCTTGAACTTCTTAAGAACCTCTTTAGCATAGCCTTCTTGAGTAATGAAAATTCCATTATCTTCTTGTCTCACTTCAATTCCAAGGTAGTAAGACATCAATCCAATATCGGTCATCTCGAACTCCTTCGTCATCTCCATCTTGAATTCCTCGAACATACTTGGATTGTTGCCTGTGAATATCAAGTCATCTACATACAAGCATCCAATCAATATATCATTGTTTTGAGTTTTGATATAGAGTGCATGCTCATATGGACACTTGATGAAACTTTTCTCCTTGAAGTACTTATCAATTCGAGTATTCCAAGCTCTTGGTGCTTGTTTTAACCCATAAAGCGCCTTCTTTAACCTCAAGACTTTGTCTTCTTCTCCCTTGATTATGTAGCCTTGTGGTTGCTCAATGTAAACTTCTTCTTCAAGATCTCCATTTAAGAAGGCTGATTTGACATCCATTTGATGTATCCTCCAATTGTTTTGAGCTGCCAATGAAATGATTAATCTAACAATTTCTAGACGAGCAACATGAGCGAATACCTCGTCATAGTTGATTCTCGCTCTTTGACTATAACCTTTTGCCACCAATCTTGCCTTGTATCTTTCAACTTCTCCTTTAGAGTTCTTCTTTGCTTTGTACACCCACTTCACACCGATCGCCTTATGCCC